CAACCCATACTAGAAAGAGACCCTATTCTTAAAGAGATCTACCCAGAACCACCCATCTTAGCTTCAAACAAGCACCAAACCTCGGTAACCTCATCACCAGAAGCAAACTTCCTTGGGTCCAGAACACACTGAATGGATCCAGACCACGCCATGACAAGAAATGAAAAACTTGCCAACACATCTCCACCACCCTCACAATTACATCTCCACCACCCTCACCCAACAACAGAGCCATCAGCATTCCCGGATCTTATGCCCTGATGGAAAATATGTAGGAGAGACCAAACAACAACTGCGCACCAGAATGAACGCACACCAGAAATCGATCAAAGACAAGACTAACCAACTACCTGTGGGGGCACATTTCTCACAAGAAAACCACTCTCTCTCTAATCTTTCGTCCTCAAAGGGAATTTACAAACCACTTCTCAGAGACAAGCCTATGAACTTCACTTCATCAACCTCCTGGATACAAAAAATCGTGGACTAAATACAGACATTGGATTTATGACACATTATAACCTGCCTAACATCGGATTACACAGGTACCTCTCCACTATTTAATTGCTACATTCATCCCCCTTTTCTCTCCCCCTCCCCCCATGACCCAGCCTGTCTCTCACCTACGGACTCCTCAATTTACATCTTCACTGACTGCCTGTCTTGCATGCAGACCAGCCTCTGGCTTCTTTATTATTCATTCCATCCAGGAAGAGCACACACCAACTGCAGAGACTTCCTCAGCCTGATGAAGGGGTTTTAAACCTGAAAGCTTGCTAAAAAATGTTTTTTCCAGCTATTTAAGCTGGTCTAATAAAAGATATCAGATTCACCCAAAGAAACTTATCTGCCTACCTCCATCATCAAGATGTTCCTAATACTACAAGGCTCAGATAGTATCAACCACTGTAGCCTATCCTACTACAGGAAATTATAATGTTATAATTTGAGAGTATAAGGATGAAAACAGGAGGTTGAGCATTAAGGCCAAATAATTATGTACAGAAGGGGGGTGTTTCTGCCCAAAAGCTTGCAAAGAAGATTTTTTCCAACTATTTTAATTGATGTAATAAAAGATATCAGATTTACCCAAAGAACCTTGTCTAATTATGTGCAAGTATTCTATCTGCATTACTTGAAAGTTTTACCAGACATGCACTTTTATTCTTTTGTTATGGATAAATTATTAAGCTGCAGCAAACTAAATGGGGAAAGACCAACTAACATAGAGTAACCGGCAACACTTGCCCTGTAGTAAAAGAAATCTGAACTGGGCTTCTCAGTGGAAGTAAATAGCTGCAATTCAGTGTCCTGGGCAATGGCCTACATGCTTTATTGTGATCTTTCTGTCTTAACTCTGTTCACATAGTTATACTATTGGGATTCAGTTTACCTCCTTAGCCTGCATGCCGATAATGAAGAGTTAAGAGCCAGGACTAGCTAGTGCAGGAGACAAGAGGGACCTTTAGCACCAACAGCCGTGAATGAAATTGTTGACCTATGAAGGAAGGTGAAATACCCAACCCTAATAAGGTGTCCACAGGAAATATCCATGACAATGGGAGAGCAGGCTGGGGCTCCTGGCCAGAAGAGTCTGAAGACTGAGGTAAGTGGAGCTCTGGAGAGCCGGAAAGACTGGAAAGGGAACAGCTGAGTATCTCTGGAGGTGCTAAGAGCTGTAAGGGCTGGACTGGGAACAGAGGGACTGCTTAACCACATTTGAGGAGACAGAGAACCTCTGGCTGGCTGGCTTTGCCCTAGTAAACAGTTTTATTAAAGAGACTGTCCGTTCTGCTGCTTGGAACTATATGAAGTGCTGGGTCACTCCAGGAGGTGGTAAAGTTCCTCTCCGGAGGAAAAGTGGATGCTAGGTCCTTGAGTCACGGCAATGGAGAACCAGGGAAGACCTGGGTCTCAGAGCAGGAGTAACCTGGGCTCCCTGCTTGCTCTAGAAGCCAAGCCTGGACTGGTTTCAGGGGGTTCTCCCAGAGACCAGACAAGGCCACAGCAGTCCCAAGTCAGCACCCCCTAAGGAGCATTCTGCGATGCCCTGTACATCCTTCTATTTCCACAGGGGGCTCTACAAAGAACATTGGGGTCAGCTGCTATTACTGTTTTGCCACCTGCCTACAAATAGTACTGGTTTAAGACCCAATTCTGGTCACAGCTATTAGTAAAAGCACCCTAATACCATTTTTTAAATCCTGGAGCTGCTCCTTTCATTCCTGGAAAGCAAATAAGCTACTTCTTATTTCTAAGGCTCCACAAGATGTTCTGTTTTTATATAAAAATGCTATAGTATGTGCACTAGGAAGGAGGGAGATCTGAAATTTTTTCCCCACATACCTCATGCTCCTGCAGATCCTCCTCCAAATGGAGGACCTTCTTCAAAGCTGCAGCAACATATTTCTTCCTTTTATGCAGGAAATCCTGCTCTTGAGTACACAGGTCAAACCCCAAGCGCACGTCATGTCCTTGTTGACTAGAACGAACAAAGACCAGGACAAATGTATGTACACACAATTTACAGCTAGTTTCAGGTTCAGATAATCATTGCGTTTCACAAATACTCAGAGTTATAAAAATAGCTCTCCCCACACTTGCTTGTGCACTGAGTAATGAAAGAAAAGAAATAACGTATCCCTATTACCAGCACAAGAAGCAAATATATAGACAAGAGAGAGGGGTCAGAATGCTTTCAATTCCTTGCAAAAGTGAATTAAAAGCATGACAAGTCAAAGATAACCTACCACAAAGGCTGAATCTGGAAATATTTTTATTTTATTTTTTCAATCAACTTTTTTTTCCCCAGCAGGTTACCTAAAAATCTCAAAGAAGTGCTCAAAGTTTATACTTTGTGTTCTGGCATTTCAGTATTGTACTAAATGAAGATGCACGCTGCCTATTAAACAGAATTTGTTAATGCAAATTTATCTATGCTAAGGCTAGCCATTGCACCATGCCATGTGATCAAATTCAGATTTCAGCCAAACCATAAGACCCTACTGACTTGATTCATGGCTGAAGCATTTGTCCACATGCAACATGGTCTTATGAGTCCACAGCAAGGTAACTAGGGCTGTGTGAAATTTGGCCACCAGTCTTGTTTCAATGCTGTTTTGACCTGTTTCGAGGTCAAAACAGCAAAATCAAAATGAAGCAGATATGGTCGAAACAGCCTCAAAATGAAACAAGACAAGTCAAAACGTTTCACCATTTCAATGTTGTTTTGACGTTTCGCCCATAGGCTATAATGGGGAAGGTCAAAACAGCCTATAATTTTGTCATTTCTGGCTAGATTTGGATAAAACTTGCGGAAATGGTAGCCCCTTCTGAGGGCATAAAGCACACCAAGTTTCAAGAAGATAGGTGCAGGGAGTCAGAGAAACTGCACTTCAAAATCTTGAGAGCCAAACTTGTGTCATGTGTATGTGTTAAGCCACAGTGGGGTCAAAACTGCAGGCATGCTAACCCCTGCTGAGGCCACGAAGCCTGCCAAGTTTCAAGGAGGTAAGTACAGGGGCTTGGGGAAAACCGCACCTCAAGTTGTGGACAAGCAAAACTCATGACATGGGTGACACTGTGTGTGTTAAGGTGCAGCAGGGTGAAAGCTGCAGGCCTGATAGCCCCTGCTGCGGCCACAAAGCCTGCCAGTTGTCGAGGAGATTGGTGCAGGGGGGTCCTGGGGCCCTGCACCTTTGACTGCTGACAGGCAAAACTCATGCCATGGGTGCTCGTGGGACTGTCTGTCTCTGTCTTGGGGCAGTTGATTGTCTGTATTGTTTCTTTCCTCTCCTTAGTCCTGGTTTTGTAGGTGTTAATCCATGCTTGTTAAGTCGTTATGTAGTAGCTAGGTACTGTGTATTGAGCTGGTCCCTGGGTGAATCATGATTAACTGGTAACTGGTAACACACTAGCTTAGCAGCTGGCCTGCAGTAGTCCTCCTGCTCCAGTGCCCCAAGACAAACACAGTTGCACAAGCACTCATGCCACGAGTTTTGCTTGTCTGCAGCTTGAGGTGCAGTTTCCCCCAAACCCCTGCACCTATCTCCTTGAAACTTGTCAGCCTTCAGGGCCTGAGCAGGGGCCACCACTGCTGCAGTTTTCATCCTGCTGCACCTCAACACACACCCAGGGTCATCTATGTCATGAGTTTTGCCTGTCAGCAACTTGAGGTGCAGCTCCCCCCAAATCCCTGCACCTATCACCTTGAAATTTGGCAGGCTTTGCAGCCTTAGAAGGGGCTACCATTCCTGCGGTTTTGACCCTGCTGTGGTTTAACACATACACGTGACATGAGCTTTGCTTTCAAGATTTTGGGCTGCAGTTTCTTCAAACCCCCTGCACCTATCTTCTGAAAACTTGGTATGCATCATGCCCCCAGAAGGAGCTACAATTCCTGCAAGTTTAATCCAAATCTGGCCAGAAATGACGAAGTTATAGGCTGTTTTGACCTTAGCCCATTATACCCTATGGGCAAAACGTCAAAACAGGGTCAAAACGACAAAACGTTTTGACAGAATGAAACAGAACCGCCATTTCGACTCTAAACAAAAGTTGAAACAAAACACTGTTCTGTCAAAATGACAAAACGCTCGTCGAAATGGAACACTTCCGTTTCTCACAGTCTTATAGATAACATCCCAGTCAAATAACAAATTTGGAAATACATACTACGTATTTCTATGTTTGTTACATTAGCTCTCAGGATGTGCTTTATTGCTGTTTAAATATATAAAAAGCACCATCACTCCCACAAATAGCTTACTAAATTCCCTGGCAGATGTACAATTAAAGGCACAATGGGATCTGATGCACATTCCCCACAATCACCCCTGCTATCACGTCACACATGCTTGGCAGGAGGCATGATTGTGGGATAAAACATCAGATCCTATTGTGACAATGCTAAAGCAGAGGGAGCCCAGGATCCTAATTCTGGGTCTGGGCATCCCCTCCACTGGCAAATAGCAAGCCTCTGCAGCTGGGAGCCTGGATCAGCTGATGGGGCTCCCAGCCATGAGGGCGCACCATGAGCTCCTGTGGCTGGGAGCTCAGATCAGCTGACACGGCTCCCAGATGCAAGGGGCACGGTGAAGGCCTTTATTCCAGCTGCACCCCAAAGGAGCCTTGATTTGCCACTCTTCCCAGCTGAAGTGGTATATTGGAATCAAGGCCAGCTCCCAGTCTAAACTCCAATGGGCTCCCAAGGCTGGGAGCAGCAATCAGCTGATTTGCATACACAGCCTCTGTAGTGTACGGGAATTAAGAGCTCCCATGTGCTCTGGAGGCCAGGAGCCCCAATTAGCCTGGCCACACGTTCAGTTAATATCATGATGAGAAGCAGCCACTAAGTTATTACATATATTTTGTGTAATAACTTTGTGACTTATTCCTTTTTTATGATGCCATTACTCACATTAACACGTGGCTGGGTAATAATTTAAGATGTGATTAACAGGTTTCCTTTATAATGCTGAGCAGCTTACAGGATCAAAGTGCCCAATCCTGCCAATACCTGGACAGAAGCATTTTTTTCCCCATTAACCATCTCATTGAATTTCCGCATGTCAGAAAAGTGAAGTATATGCTTAAGTGTTTGCAGAACTGGGACCTAAAAGATAAAGGATGGTAGTCCATGCTGTGTGTGCAATTACAAATACATATATGAATTTAAATTATTGCCTGCTACTGGAGAGAATGCCAGAATTTCCCAAGTGTCTTAGGTGACACTGCCCCCTGGTGGAAGAAAACTATGCAAAGTACTGACTTTGAGGCTATTTTATAAGCAGGAATATTTCATGCGTTACTAACACTATTGTTCAATTCTCCACCACTTTGGCAAAAGCATAGTTTACTCATACAACACACCAAAACAAAACCAGTGTAGTGACCTTCAAAAATAAAAGTTTCTGAATATTTTCTTGAGAGGACAAAAAAATTACACTAGAAAAAAACACAGAAAGCAATGGCATTTTCTTTAGATTGTCTCATATTCACTTCTAAACTGAGCCTAAGCATGCTTCTCCCCAGAAAGAACAGAAGTGTATTTCATATGTTTGTTTTACTTCTAATATTTCTTGTAGTACTTTTAAGGCTGCAGCAAAAGAGGCTTTATTATACACTGTCTAAACAAATCTAACCAAATTATACTCCATATAGTATCACAATATTAAACACAATGGTGGTTGTCCTACAAAAACTAATAGGTTCATCTAAAGTGAAGGCAAGTGTCAGAAAGTATTTGTTTAAATTACAGACTATTGGCTAACATGTTATTTCAAGCATTTCCTTAAAATAATTGGCATGCTTGGCCAAGTCTTCCCATATATAAGGGCCTTGCCACACATTACACTTAGCATGCGTTAACTGCGCTTAAAATGCTAGGGTGTTTATACATGTGGTCTGGGAGGTGTGAAGGAGTGCTTTAATTACTGCAGCTCCAAAAGCAATGCTAATTAAAAGCTCCCAGATGATCACATGCATCAGTGTCCCTGCTCTGAAAAATGGTGGCAGGGTGCTTTGAACTAAAGTTCATCGAACAAGCTTTAAAGCACCCTACTTCCATTTATCAGCAGGGGGAGCTGGAGGCTGCTGAAGAGTGTTAATTTTCACATTCCAGCAGACTTGATTAATCGAGCCTGCTCCGATGCGCTGCAATTACATGCTCCCTGCACATGTCTAGGAGCCCCTAGTGTCTACGCATTCAAGCAGTGAAACATGTGCTGAGTGCCATTGCAGCATAGCAAAGTCAGGGCTTCCTGCAAGGAATATTTCCAGATGGTATTACCTAATCCATCCTAAGCTAATATTCAACTGCTTCACAGAGATAATATGATCAGAAGACTCTGGGGCAGTACAGGGTCCGGGACCAGTCCCAACATCATCCCCTCCCCACCACCACCATCACCACCACTGCCCCAGCCCCAATACTGCATCAGAGCTAGTTCAAGAGGTCTGTGACCAATGATCAGCTGTTTGTCAGTCCCAGCCTCCACAGCGCATTGCAGCACCCTGGAGTCTTCAAGAGTTCTGGAATTTCAGACGTGTCTTATTTATTACTAAGCATTACTGTGCAACTGCTCAGAAAACTTCTTAACTCATAGTAATAATTAATAAGATCCCCAAAACAATGAACCAGGTGTAATGTATGACAAGGCTAATTGCTGTTGCCACAGCTGCATAATTACAACAGCAGTGCAATGGCAACCAGAAATCACTGCTGTCCCTGTGTGCATCAGCCACATCATTACACCTCTGTGACTTAAAACCACCTTTGCTTCCTCCTGTCCTACTGTCCTAATGATCCCATATCAAATATGCCAAATTTACAGGTAAAACTTGTAAATATAGTTCCTACTTAAGCATCAGCCCTGAAAACTCTACCTAAATTTGGAAGGTCAAACTATGTTTCTTTGGGGGGGGTTTCTTCTTATGAATCAGACCCAATAATCAAGGTTCAGGGGGCCAAAACATGCTTTC